TCTAGCAAAACCAGAGCCTTGAAACAACCTCAGCAGGTGGGAGGTGCTGAAACAGGTCTAAACAAATCTGGACTAGCATCAAGTGAACCACAGACTCTAACCATAGTTCAAAATTATTCTAGAAATGAACCAAACGGGATCCATGCTTAAATGCCTTATGATAACTTCCATGTCCACCAACACGGTGGACCGGATGTCCTGATGAGACTGCTCACTGAAAACAACTAAAAGCACAGAATCAAACTTTTTTTTAATCTTCTGGAATGCTTCTATGAGCTGGGTGACATACAAAACAATATGCAAACCCAAGTCAGGCCGCTGAGGGAATGCAGAGGAATCGGGGGTCTCGGGCAGCTCGTACCCTAGGCCAGAACCAAACACGCACTCACTGTAAAATGTGACCAACTTGCAAGGGGAAGTAAGCAAGGGGATGACGGACACATAGGAACTGTGGCCGAGTGCGTGGAGTGAAAGCGTGGGGGCAGGGGGGTGTGACAGGGACAGGGACCAGGAGACAACAGGTGTGTTCTCTTCATCTGGGCCGCAGCATCACGGGCACTCACGCTAGTACTAACTAGCACACCTCACAAAAGCATACACATATTGGGTGTTACCAAACTAAATAATTAAAAAGAATCAAGGTTATCAAATTCTGGGCCCCCTAAAAATGGATCCATTTAGCCTGGAATCCAGTGGAAATATACGTACACATATATGTATACATCTTACATATTTTCGTCAACAGAAAAAAGATTTAAAAAATTATAGAATGGGTGTCATTTAACTCTGAGGCTTCTATTAGGTAACTTATCCCTGAACTCAGTGAAAATTTCCACACTCAAGTTCTTACAAAATACGAATCCAAGCTGGTACAGCCATTCTGGAAAACAGCATGGAGGCTCCTCAAGAAGTTCAAAATAGAGCTACCCTATGACCCAGCAATCGCACTCCTGGGTATTTACCCTAAAGATACAAATGCAGTGATCTGAAGGGGCACATGCACCCGAATGTTTATAGCAGCAGTCCAGAATAGCCAAACTACGGAAAGAACCTAGATGTCCACCAACAGATGAATGGATAAGGAAGATGTGGTATATATATACAATGGAAAATTGCAGCTATCAAAAGAAATGAAATCTTGCCATTTGCAACGTGGATGGAACTAAAGGGCATCATGGTGAGCGAAATAAGTCAGTCAGAGAAAGACAATTATCATAGGATCTCCCTGGTATGAGGAAGTTGAGAGGCAAGGCAGGGGGTCGTGGGGAGTAGGGAGGGAAAAAATGAAACAAGATAGGATCAGGAGGGAGACAAACCGTAAGAGACTCTTAATCTCAGGAAACAAATGGAGGGTTGCTGGGGGGTGGGGAGTAGGGATAGGGTGGCTGGGGGATGGACACTGGGGAGGGTATATGCTGTGGTGATTGCTGTGAAGTGTGTAAGCCTGATGATTCACGACCTGTACCCCTGGGGCAAATAATACATTATATGTTAATTTTTTTAAAAAGGGGAAAAGAAGAGAAAAAAAGGTTCTTACAAAATACTTCAGTTCCATTCACAATTCAGTAGACCTTGGCTACAAACAGCTGCTGAAGGGCTACAGTTTTATTTATGCTGTGTGTGTGTGTGTGTGTGTGTGTGCGTGCGTGCATGTGCATGTGCATGTGCACAAGTGCACGTGTTTAAACAGGGGAAAGCTCTGAACTCCTAACTGATTTCCAACGGTGGCATTAGGACTGTCCCAATCTGGGTCCTGCCTGCACAGGTGAGCACACGGGTTGCCCGTGACAGCGCTGGAATGCCCGCGTGTGCAACAGGACAGCTTCTGCACTGAGAGGTTAGCACAAGGAGCTGAGTAAACACATAGGTCCTTGTCAAAGCAGCAACGTGAACACCATGCTCCTTGCACGACTCTGTTAGGTCAGGGTAGAAACAACAGTACGCACGTCTTCTCCCACGAGCAGAACCACGCGTGTTCTATGCAGGGTGGTGGTAAGTGCCAGCATCAGCGTCACGGCTCCCGCGTGTGCGAACGCGGCTGCGGAGCTTGGGTCAGGACGGACACTCACATCTGACGCTCCGCACAACTTATCTGAGGAAACTCTTACTGACCTTACTGAGTGAGGCTCCGGTTCCCCTTCCGGTAGTGCACTGCTCCGATGAGCCCCCACACACATGCACGTGTCCGTCTTACCTATACCGTGCGCCCCTGCAAGGGCAAGGGTCAGTGTGACAATCGAACTGCCCACAGTCCACTATTTCTTCCGCACCCACTGCCGACACTGCCCCACGCGATCCGGAGCGTGTGAGTGCGCTCACGGCTCTTTGTACAGCTGCCAACTCACTGGTGGTGACAACAGTCCTTCCCCTGCCCTCCCCCTGGACTCTGCACACACACCTTTACCTCCCTCTGTCTCCTGTCCCTGGGACACCGGCATGGATCAGCCTTCAACATGGGCAAAGGGCGGTATCATGACGGCTCTTGTATTTCTTTTAAAACACAGGTCCATGGTAGAATACCATAAAGTCACACACAAAGTGACAGCAATTATTTAGCATAAAGATACTTCGAGTGATGTTTCAGAGTATTTTGGGGACTTCCTAAAAATGTGCCATATGACCGAACAACTGTAAGAGATTAAGAAGGGTCAGGTTGCGAAAGAGAAAGTGCAGGAACAGAGAAAGCAGAGGGTGGGGTGGAGGCACACAGGATGGAGAGGGACATGTCCTGTCCCGGAAGGTGAGCTCACACGCGTGTCACGTTCACAGATGGTAACTGCCAGCTGCTCCAGGGCCTGGCGCTGCCTGCAGACCGAACGTGGAAGACTGGCGGGGCACGGGAAGGACGGACAACCCCACCTCACTCACCGGGATAGGTGACACAGCCGTGCATCTTACTCGATGGGACAGCTGGGCCGCTACACGCACGGTGAGCGCATGACGGGACGCGTGCTCCCCACCTCTTGGGTCCCCTAAAGTCTGCTGAACAACAGGGACCGCAGTGAGCGAGGTCTCCGGAGGAAGAGGAAATTGGGGCCACACCAGCACGTGCGGTACTTTTAGTCGGAGACAGAAGCAAGGTCCCGTCAAAGGAAAAACGAGGACAGCAGGTCGCAGCGTGGAAGGACCAAGAATGCGGCCGGCTGCGAGGTCGGCCCCGAGTTACGAAAGGGAGGGACGCGAGCCGGTGAGGCCTGACTGCGAACTGCAGAGACCAGCGTCACTAAAGCAGTCATGGATTCCCTCGGGGGTGGATCCTCGCAAAGAAATTACGCCAACAGTGACAAAGATCACCGAGGAGAGCGAGAACGCAAGGCAAACCCACCAGCTAACCCCTGTCACCTGCTTCGCTCCAGCACGAGGCTTGTCAGACGCCGCCACCGAGCCGGGGAAGCCCCAGGGCAGCTTGTAACCGGAGGTCACCCCTGCAGTACGAGCGGGCCCCCAACAATCTCCACCGCATCAAAACGGGACTCTCCTCTTTCCGTGTCGCCAAGTGCAAACCCCCTCTCCCACGCAACTCCGCATCGCGCTCAACCTCCCCAAGCTCCCGTCGGGCCCTGGCCTCAAGCTTCTCGCTTCCGACGCGGTGAGAAAACAGGCCCAGTACCTGGGAGCAGCGTCCTGGCGTTCTGCGCTCACAGCGTGGGTCTCCCCAGCAGGAACCCGCAGCTTTCTCACACCAGGAAAGAAAACGACCTACCCGGCTACCGCCTTCCTTCTGAAGTGAGTCCATCCCTTCTCGCTCCCGCCATCAGGCAGCGGGACTGATGCAATCCACCCCTCGTGTTCATGTCCCGTCAGTCTCCCACTCCCATCAAACCCACCGCTGAATGCGCTCCAGGCACCCTCTGTCTCCCGCGTTTCCTACCTGCACGGCCGGAGAGTCCGCCCACCCGCTCGCAGCCGCCTTAAAACCCATCCGGTCCATGACGGATGCCGGCGCCATCAGTGTGGTCTGACTTCCCGACGACAAAAATTCTCCTCGAGACGTTCACTGACTACATCCCTTCAATAGCTCCCCTAACTCTGCGGGAGGAAGCCTACAGCCTTCCCTTTTCACGATGTGGGCCCCAGCTCCTCTCCCCTTTCTGCTCCAAACTTTTTAACTCAGATTAAGATGCGCCATGTTTCCGAAAGTACGACTCTTCCCCGTCTGCGAAGCTGGGGACTCCTCACATGACCCCTCCCAGGACAGCGCGTGGGCTCTGCACCTCCACGGGGTCAGCAGACACTCTCGGCATGGCCACGCCCGCTGTGCTTCCCGACAGCAGGGACTGAGCACAGGTCCTGCTCGCAGGACATCCCCGCCCAGCTGAGGAATTTAGGATGCAGACGATCTCATTTATTTCCTCTGCGCTCTTGACCCACTGCAGACACGTAATAAATATTTTTATTAAAACGAGGAACGACCACGTGCTTCTGGCTGCAGAACGTGCGCGCACATGTCAGCCAGTCCTCGCACCTGTTTCTCGTCACTCTTCGTGGAAACGAACAAGCAACGTGTATTTGGACGTAAAATTCTATTGGTTCGTTTACGCCACACGTGTGTATTGCCTAACTAATATTTGAAGGGGTAAAAAGGAAGTTACTCAGTGCAAAAAAAAAAAAAAAAAAAAAAGTCAATTCTGCCTTTATTTTGCAAACTGCTCTCGAGATTCTGTGACTCTCGGTGGCTCTGACAATAAATTCCACATCGGCCCAGCCTGCGGATACTCGGGCATGGTAACGGTACTTGAGTTAAAGGCAAACCAATGCTTGTATCGCTTAGGATTCACTGTACCACACAAAAGAAGTATCTTTAAAGATCTACCCAAGTGTATAAGAATTCAGGGTCAAAAATTCAAAATTTCTCACTGGTTAAAACTCTCTCACTGCCATACTGTGACAAATACACATTCTCCCAAATGTTAGCTTTAATCAAATTCTAAAATAAAACCATGTAGTAAGTAGGATTCAAAGCCACAAAGAATAAGGGATATTAGAGCACTCTCGTATACCTGTTGGTAGAAGAAATTCAGAGTTGGCTTGTCTTCCGTAAACTGGTTTAGAAATCCTTTTGGCAAATAACGAATTCTCAATTCATATCTAAAAAATAATTCACAAAATAGAAAAATCAGAAATAATTTTCTCAATTCATAGTCTACAATTACAGCATTATTATAACTATGGCATAACCAATTACTCTGAAATATTATCTTAAAAGTAACTTAAAATACAAGTAATTTTTAACCATCCATTTTCAAACTTTTCAGCACAAAGACGTGCACCTCAGTGTCCAGAGCGAGCTCAATGATCCTGCAAGGGACAGAGCAGAAAGAAGCCCAGAAGGCACCCGGTCCTAGCAGTCACTGTCCACGCAGGGCAGGGGCAGCACCTCCCCACACTTCCCCGATGGCTGACCTCATGCGCATGGAACCACACAGAACATACCCTTTCCTGTCTGGCCTTTGTTCACTCGCTGACATGCTTGTGAGACTCAGCCTATCTAGAAGCAGACGGTCGCTCTGAGCTCATAGTATTGCATGAAATGTCACACCACCGCTAAGGACCATTTGAGTTATTCCTGCTTTTTTAGCTATTATGAGGATACAACACTCTTTTTTTCTCTTCCTCTAAGCATAAACTAGTTAATTGTTCAGGAAGCCACACTTCAAGAGTGGTGGAAACAAATTTCACCAGAACGCTCTCTCCTTCTCTCTTTTCCATGTCCTTTACGGGCACAGACTGGGAGTGTAAGACAGACAGACAGATACACACACACACACACCCCTGCGTTAGCCGGTGCCACCCGTCAGGGAGCTGAAGAAGCCACACCAGTTTAAAGTCCCACCAGCACGCAGTGTTCTGGATCTCTCTGCCCGGCAGGGCTCTTTCCTTGTAGTGACCGATGCCCGCTGCAGCAGGTGTGCCGCCGACGGCCCCGTCTAATGACTGCCGAAGAGGAAACCTCCTTTGGTGAAACGTCTGTTTCTTCCAAAGGGCTGTGGGTCCCCCTTTCCCACCCCCAGCTGTCTTACACGTTCAGGGTGTGAGGCCATCGCTAGACTCCTATCTTCCGCCACTCCAAGACTCGTCTTTCGCTCTTTGACGGTGTCTTGTAAAAATTATTTTAAAAATCTTTTTATTTTAATGTTATCTGTCGAGGAAGAAAGCTCATAAATTTTATGCAGCCCTATTTACACTTTTCCTTTTTGGGAAATTCTTTTAGTGTTTTGTTCGTAAAAATATTTGCCTACCCAAAGGTTATAGGAAGATCTGTTTTTTCTTAAAGTTTTATTTACCGATGTTTAAAAAAACGTAATAGTCTCACAAGGGAAACATGCTAATAAAGTAGTAACACGATTCTTTTGGTTAGTTAAGAGCGGAAAAAACGCAAGGTACACACACACACAGGCCCCGCTAAGACCGTGGAGTGTCTGCCCTCATTAAAATATGCAACTGCCCAACAGCGAGCTTCCCTTCTGCTCCTCCTCATCGAGGTCAACGAGTTACTCCAGACGCTGCACGTGGGGCAGTCCCTTGTGGAACACGCTAGAGTTCATTACCGCCAGCACGTTCCAGGCCCCCCAAGGCACCACTTCTACGCCACATGCCCGTCAGAGAGCAGAAGCGCAGCGAGTGCCGGTTAGCGGACTAGAAGCCGGCTCTGCAAGCAGCCGCGCCGGCCCAAGGCTGCACGTTCAGGATCAAACAGGACAGGAGGCTTCTGCGAGGGATGCTATCGCATTTGACGGTAAGGAAACAGACCCAGCTCAAACACTGTGACCAGCCGGCAGCCTGGCCATGCTGACAACGGCTCCGTGGACACTCCAGGACTACTCGGGGCCCGACAGGGATGGTGATAAGGACGTGACCCTCAGCCTCGTACTCCGCTACGGCCCTGCCAGAAGCAGGAAGAACACAGGCTCCGGAGGGGGTTGGCCTGGGCTGGGACTCTGGCTCCGTGGCCCACCCCTGCCACCGCCTCTCTGTGCCTTGGTCCCAAGCTCGTCGGGAAATGAGTGAGTGAGTGAGCGCAGAAGCCCGCGCACACTCCCTGGCCCACAGTGGGCACGAGCTCCACGGCTTACTGATGGCATCAGCGGTCACTCCGCGCCTACTGATTCCTGCGCCAACCCCTTCCGAGGCACAGCTCCAGGGGCTGGGGAGACACCAGTGAATAAACAGGCCAAGCACCGGCCCTTGAAAATCTGAGATACGATTTGTGGTGGAGTCAGAGAGCAAATGCACAGTATCTCGGGGGCAGCGGTAAGCAGGACACAGGTAAAGAAGCTCGGTAAGGGGAGCGACAAGTGACGACAGATCGCTCTGCACAGCCCCAGAGGACACTCCGATCCAGGGAGATCTGAACAAAGATCTGAGCGGGGAAAGGCCTCATTCGGTTATGTGCAGAGACAAGAGTTCCGCTCTGATGGAAGAGAATGGGGGGCAGCCCTGAGGCAAGAGGATGTGTGGGAAGGCAAGTGCGGCTCGACCGCGCTGAGCACGAGCACTGAGCAGGCGGGCAGCAGGGAGAGGCGGGTTCGGGAGGCGCCAGATCACAGAGGCCCCTGTGCATCGGGACTATGGGGCTCGGAGCACAGCAGGGTAATCGCAGGACGGACGTTCCTCAGACCAGGCAGGTCTACACACTGTTGTGTGAAGGACAGACAACAGGGCCCAGAGGAAGAAGCAGGAGGCCTGGAGGCAAGCGCAGTACCCTGGCTGAGAAGTAATGACCCTGTTTTCACGGATGGGAGAAAGCTCAAGGCATTAGGTAAGCGGCCCAAGGCCCCACAGGTATGAAGTGGCAGACAGGGACCCCTCTCCGGCAAGAACATGCACGAAGGCCACAACGCAGAAGGAGACCAAGAGAAGGCCACTGCGGCTCAAGAACAGAGGAGCAGGACTGACCTGAAGCATGGACAGGGAGGCACGCTCTTCAGATTGTGAGGATTCTGGTCCCTGCTTCAGTCCGCAGTGTCTAGCCTGTCTGTTCCTCCACAGCCCTGCTGAACTGCCCATCTGCCCAATCTAATCACATGCCATCACCCTGGCTCAGTCCCTAACCACAGCACCCAACCCCACAGCCTACTGGCCCGAGAGGGCTGACATCCCCACTCGCTCCTGTCCACGAAACTAACCATCCTCCTTACCCTTCTGTTACCATTCTAAGAGCCTGACAGCATCCTGAAACACATTTTTACTATTCTGCTATACGCCATTCCATGGATTTCTGGACAGCAGCTAAATAGAACATGCTCCAAATAATCTTTTTGCTTCTTCTAAGTAATAACTTCCTATTGAGGCCACTGAACTAACCTCCTCAGTCTCACCTCCCACAACAAGCACCAAGATACCCATAAGCTGACCAGCTAATGGCGGAGGAGTAGGAAGTGTTGGACCAAGAATCCGTTAGCCTTGATACTGAGAAGGGTCAGCTGGCCCATCTGTGTGTCATGAAGTAAACAAGGCACAACTTCCAGAAACAACACAGATGCTGTGTTTCTTGATGGGCCTTGCAAACACTGTGGTACTGACAGCTCTTTCTCACAAGGGACCTCCATTTAGAAATCCCCGAAAGAAGAATGGAAATAGAAATTCATTATTAGGTAAAAATTCTAGCAGTAATAGCTGTAAGAAACAATCATCCATGGTACTGAGATTAACGGGTGAAAATCCATGAGAAACGGGGTCTCGGCAGAGTCGCAATACACTTATCCCCCAGCAGGTACTTCTCAATTACAGAGGGGGAAACAGTGACTTTACGGGGCAGGAACCTGGCCACCACCTTAAACCAAATGATCCAAGTTGAAAACACCTGTACAAAGGAGTCCCATCATCGCTACAGACTTCCTGATCAGATGTGCTACGATGGCTTCCACAGCCCGACTGTAGCATTCTTGCGAACAACATGCAACCTCAGCGTCACCATGAGAAAACCCCAGACCACCCCCGTGGAAGGACACGGTACAGATAACCAGCCTGTATTCCTCAAGTGTCAAGGTCATGAAGGACATAGGCAGAGGAACTGTCCCAGATTAAAGAAGACTAACTAAGGGGTGTTAAGTGGTACAGTCGCAGAAATCTGAGTAGCATCTGTGTACCAGTTAATAATACCGTATCAGTGTTAAGTTCCTGGTTTCAATTACTGTACTATATTTACGAAAGTTTCACCATTTTAGGGAAGCAAGGCGAAGGGTACCCAGGACTTCTGTGTTCTATTCTGGAAACTTCTGAGACATACCGAGAACAAAAAGAAGTTCACAGACGGACTGTTCCATGCCCGAGGGTAACAGCACCCACCAGAACCCTCTCCAGCCAGCCTGGCCGGAGTCAGCCCGCAACCGCAGACCCAGCGGAGACGGACAGAAGCAGACCCGTCTTCCTGCTGCTCCTGTCTGGGGCGGAGGCCGCCAGCGGATGTGCATTAACCGCCAGCGAGCTCCAAGTGCGTCCTCACTTTAAAGCATCACTTCCCAACCTGCCGGAGCGCGTTGCGGCCGCTCTGCTTTAAAGCTCAGCAGCGCAGGGCTCCACCGGGAGACTTGCTTGTAAGGGAAGGCCTGTGCGGAGTCGGTGTGATTTCGAGGGAACATAGGGAACATAAAGGAAAGCTTCCTAAACTACCATTACTCATTTTCATTCGTCGTTTTTGAAAAAGGCACTTTTCCTCCCTATGAAAGACTTGTTCTCCTGCCGAGGACTGGAAGCAGTCATGTCCTTGCAGAGCAAGGGGCTGCTTCTCGGCAGGGACTGGGCAGGGCTGCGCGGGACGCGGGAACCCCATCTGGTAATGAGGAGGAGGACGGTCCTCACTCGCTCGGCAGAGCCCCACGGTACTCTCTCGGAGGCCACGCGAGCCACCTCTCAGACCCGGCCCTTGAAGTCCTGGATTCGACCTCACGAAGGACTGGACCATTTCCCCCCAAAGCTCTGACAGTCTATTTAGATCTGACTCAGCCAAACAGACCACTCTACACAGGTCACTCCAGATAACTGAAATTTAATACCAAAATTCGGCTCATTAGAAAGCTCTAAGTGCAGAACTTCACAACGGAAATCTGTCGGATGACAGTCTCTCCAGACCACAAGACACTGCTTGC